CCAGGCCTGTTTCTCTTGCCCTGGACAAAGCTCGAAGAAAGGGCTGGATGCTGCGGACGCTCTTGGGAGGTTTCCTCCCAAACAAAACAATCCCATTCCACAGATCCCCCAGCGCCCTTGCTGCTGCAGCGAGCCCTGGGTGTATTTTGCACCCTCAGTGTACATCAAAGGTAAAACAGGATGAACGAGCAAGCGGAGCCCAGAGCCACTTCTGGGCTGCAGGTACTGACAGCTATCACAAGCAGAGTTTCCTTCTTTGCTTCCCTTGTTGCCCTCTTCTGTCACTCTGGTCTTCCACATCCATGTGAGAAGGAGAGAAATAAAATACATCCTGCCTGCTGGCCCCTCGCAGTGCACGGGGATGCCTGGATCACAGCGGTGCTGCTCCCCAGAGGAGAGTTACATGCACTTTCCCAGCCTTCTGGACTCTCTATCATCTTCCTAAAAATCACTGAGCAATGATTTGTATCCAGATTGCTAGGGTTTCCAGCGATGTCATCCCCACCCAAGGCACAGCCTTCCAGCAACTTAATGAGTGTTTCACCACACGCTGTTTCTAAGGGAGTTTTAAGCTTTCACATACAATCAGCAAAAGTGAATGGAAACTCCTTTTAGCTTTAAAGAGGGTCTTTTCCTCCTCTTCCTAGTACACTGCTTTTGCTCCTACAGATGCTCAGATGCACAGATGTGAGATGCAGCCAAGCTTGTGGGACTACTGTTTGTATATCTCTGCACAGAAGCGTGGTAGCAGATCCCTCAGTGCAAATCCTGCACAAGGGCCCAATATTTTACACTTGCGGGGGGGGGGAGGGGAATAGCCAAAAAGATTTTATTTCATATTAAATAGAGCAGGCAAAATTCAGCATCTGGAGTGTCTCATGTGTTAGTGATTAAGATCCCTTATTGTTTAGTCACTTTAAAGTACTCCAAGGGACAAATTCTGCCCTCATTTTCCTGCCCCCCCCAAGCTGTATATGCCATGTTTAGGGGTTCTATAACTGCTGTGTCTTAGCATCAGGCATCAACTAATGGCAGCCAAAGGGCCTGTCCTTTCATGTCCTAGCCAAGTCCCTCTGCTCCCCGTGCCCTTTTCTCATTTTTTGTTGTCTCTTTTTCCGAGATATCCATGCCCGCTCCTTCAGCACGTTAAGGCAGCAGATGCTTTGACTGTGGAAATGCCTTTTGGAAGATGCGTGCACTGTCCTTAGATCAAAACACAACCAAATTTGTATTCTGCGTAATCCTCCACGTCAGTGGAAGTACAAGAATTATATGTATGTAGGGGGCCCTGGTCATTCAAAGTGTAACGTTCTGCAATGAGCAGAGCTTGTGGCTAGTTAAGGACCTTTTTTGTCTGTCCTGTGCAAGCATTTGTGCCGGTATCGGCCTTCTCTGTTAATGCTTTCCCTGGGCTAGGGTCACCTGCCTCTATTTCCTGCAGCATCCAGGAGACCCAGCATGAATCGGAGCCCCGGAGCAAAACCAGGCTTGGGCTTTGTCACGGTGTGGATACAACGTAAAGGCTTCTAGTCAGTTAAGCAAGCAGAAAAAGTTGTAAGAGCAGTAGCTGAGCAGTCCTACCTCTGAGCAGAGACAGTTAACGCAGTAAACAAGGCCGTAGGGTTCTAGATAAGGATGCCATCTTTCTCCTACGCGGTACTTCTTATCTTGAAACACACAGTATGTATCTGAATCTGTAAAACAGTAAAGAATTGAAAGAACGATGAAGATATGATCCCATTCAATACTTGAGAAGTGTTTTATGTCTGCTCTGTAAACTATGTTTGTGGATGAATCAGGAAATTCTGTGAAGAATGATTTTTTTTTCTTTCCCT